TTCAGGATTGCACGACGTCGTCTGTCTGTTGAACCCCGTCCACCTCATTCGATTTTTCATGGTGGTGACGCTGCACTGTATGCTGGGGGGTGGATGTGGAGGTTCAATGAGGTTGCGGTCTTGGAACACGATGTGGGCTGCCCTCGGCATGGTTTGGAGGTGTGATAAGTGCGGTAAATCTATGTCGCTGTGGTCGGTAGACCGCCAACCACCACCAAATGATGCTGGCCGACCAGGACGGAAACGTCTACCGATGTTGCAACGGTTCCTTGCGTCGTTCGCCCTAGGTGGCTTTGGCTATCAGGCATTGTCGGAGGTTGGTAGAAACCTTGGAGTGCCTATCCCATGCAAAAGAACTTTTTATAGGTACGTGAGTGGGGCGGGAGGACTGTGGGAGAAGATAATCACGCATGCGAGCAGATGCATGGAAAGGGCGCGTGAGTGTATGCTAGCCAGGAAGGAGGACGGTTACTGGGTTTGTGTCGATGGGAGGTGGGGGCAACCTCGAGAGGCTGAGTGGGTCAGTGTCACGTTCATGGATCCCAAAACACGTAAGATAATTCATTGTGTGACACTGCCAAAATCAGAGGTGGGGGTTTCGTCGACGGAGCTTGAGGGAGTTGCTTTTAAACAGGGCATGGATGACTTGAAAAGGTGGGAGTTTCCAGTCAAAGGTATCATTACTGATGAAGGTTCGAGTTTCAAGGTTGGGGTCATTCACGAGGGGATTGAGCACCAGATGGATGTCTGGCACAAGGGTCGATCGTTGTCACGCAAGTTTGTTAGGTTTTTTGTGGATGCACGCAAGGTCGTTTTGGACATCGAAAAGGCGAAAACGTGTGAAGACTTGTGGTCTGTGAAGGTAGAGGATCTCCGGGCCTGGTTGCGGGTTCATTTATGCCCTAGTCTAAAAGGAGTGAAGGGTAAGAAAACCAAGCGGGACTTGATTGAGGCTGTCTGTCGTGTGAGGAAGTTCCGGTTCGTTGACCTGTCTAAAGATAACTCCCCTTATCTTTATCCTGAGATGCGACGTGTCACTCGAGTGCGTCGCAAACGTGACCTAGGTACGACATGCACTGCAAGGAGCGTGTCCAATGCATGTCATGACAGGACTGGGGTAGAGGGGTTAGAGATCGGCGGGGGTTTGACAGGTGAGTCGGTGGTTGTACCTGTCATGCAGTCCCAACAAGATGAGAGCCTTGGGGGGGGTGGCAAGGGGGGAGCGAGGGCTGGTGGCATGCATGCACCTAAGAAGTATGATGGTTTTGTTGCCATCGATATTCTCGATGATGACACTATTGGGTCTGTGGAAGAGGATGTCGGTCCAAATCTAGATTACAGTGATGTCGGGGAGCTGTGGGGTTATGATCCCCATCCTGATCATGGGGTGCGACCGTGCTCGGCCGCGTCATTGCTTCTCCTGCATGCGTCCGCATCGTGCCACACCGACGCGACTCGAGGCATGAGATCAGCGACGAGGTCGACCTGCAACGTAGTCCCCTCGGGTACGTTCTTTACTATGCTTTTTTGCTGACTAATAAAACTAACCATACATGCTTTGTGAATATAAGATAACCAATTCGTGTTCCTCATTCATGGTGCACATGCAGGCAGCCAGGCGGGCGCGGCTGGGGAGGAGAACGATTCGCCAGAGCGACCTCGTCGGTGGGTGGAAAGGCAACCACGCAGTCGGAAGAGGAGTGGAGACTCGTTGCAAGATGAGGAGGGGGAGGGTTCGGACGGGGTGTTAGAGGAGGTCTCGGTGGCGCAAAGATTTAGCATACACTTTCATCATGTGATGGCACGGTGTGCCGCTCGTTTCAGAGCAAACCGTCCCATGACACCTGAGGAGGTTGCCGAGGAGATTGGAGTTGCAGCTGATCATTGGGCGGGTGATCATTCGCGCTGCAGTCGGGGATCTGAGAGATCAAGATGTGTGACAGATAAGTGGGGCAAAGAGAGCGCATTATACGAGTATGGTTCGCGAACGCATCTTGCTTTCAGGCAGTGGCTCAGCGAGAACTGTGGCCCAGAGGAGATGCGACCATATGTGCATGGGGCTTGCAACTGGATGAATGAATTTCGTTCATTCATTGATATGCAAGTATGCTCCAAAGCGCATATTATTTCGTGGAAGCATGAGAGCCCGAGTTGGGCTAACTGTACTGCATTGGAACCAGGGTTTGGAAAGGGAAGTGCGGGCAACCAAAATCAGGATACGCCGTGCTACTCGGGTTCGGCGAGGCAAACGTTTCCGGATCTTAGGCCCGATGGATTGGAGCTGGGTCGATGACATCATGAGGGACTGGGATTGTATGTCGCCTGACATTGCAGAGGAGGGGGGACCTAGGGATACTGCCGTCACTGCTCCATCCACGCCGGAACCGCCCACCAAGAGACAGCGTAACACCAATGAAGGAACCACTGCATATCGACGCACCCTGTTTGGTGAGTTTTGTCTACCCTGTTCTTGGAATGGTGTGACCCACTGTGCCCACTGTGCCCCTTGCACACATGTCGTTCAATTTATCGGTCCGGGTTGAAAGTTACTCAAATGGTGAATCTCCAATTCTAATTCATTCTCCATGCAGGAGACGTCTCAAACGTCCGATAAGGACATCCCTTATGGCAGCCATGAAGTTGAGGTGAGGGCAGGAAGAAGGTGTGGGGCGGTGGAAGTTGCGGGGAAGGGGAAGGTGGTGTGGGGGGGAGAGGTGAGGGGATGGGGTAGGCATGACTCTGAAACTCAGACCTAAACGGATCTGATGCACATTCTCCACACCATATCGTCCTCATCATATCACCATTTGCCTCTATACAAACTCAGAGCTGAGCGCGCCCCACGGAGTTGAACCGAAAGGTTGGTGAGGGGCAGGGGGAGGGCATAGATGGAAAGGTACGGAAGCTGAGAAAGAAGGGGGGAGAACTCACATCTGTACAAACGGAACCGCTTTTAGGGTGGGTGAACGAGCCCCACCTCTTTCCCCTCTCCATTTCTCCTGCATTCTCCTCTCTCCACTGAACGCGCCCCATCATATCTCCCTCCGCACCTCTTCCTCCCCTTCTCCATCCTCTGCTGCCCTCTCTTGTTCCCACCCCTCATATGCAGAGCTGAACCTGCCTCTACACATCTCCCTCACGGCCACCAAGGAATCGTCAGCCTCGTCAATGGCAGAAGCAAAGAAGCTAGCATCATCAGCAACCGCGTCATCCGCCGCAGCAGCAACAACAGCAGCAGCAGTAACAGTCACCATCAGCAGTGCCAGTGGCAGTGCCAGCGGCTGCAGCAGCGACAGTGGCAGCAGCACCAGGCTTGGGTCTGGCATCCCAGCTCTGCCCTCCTCACCTCTCATGCTCCCCCCACCCTCCTCCCCCGCCCACCTTATTTCCGCACTCCCACCATCCTCCCCACCTCATGTCACACACGCATTCAACTGCCTCCCCCACCCGAAGGTGTCGTGGCGTCAGAGTCACAGAAGCCTCTTTCTGCCCCTTCCTGCCTGGTAGCCTCACTCCAGCCCCCATCGTCTGCCCTCCTGACCAAGCCACTGCTCTGGCCCACACGGACCTGAATGCTGTGCCAGGAGTTGGTTTGGAATTAGGCTCGGGTGCAGACTTGGATGAAGGCTCCTGTGGAGGCGTGGGGGGGAATGATGGAGAGGATGGTGAGAGTAGCGGGCCAGTGGACAATGAGAAAGGGATGAATGGAGAGACGAGAGAGGAGGACAATGGAGCAGAGGAAGTGCTGGAGGAGGAGGAAAGGAGGGTGACAGAGGGGCGAAAAGTGGTGCGTATGCTGCAGGGGAGGAGGTGGGCTTGGACGGACTTTTGGGGTGGGATTGCCCATGAGGTGAGTGAGTGTGGAAGCTGCTTCTGTCTGCTCGTGGTTTCTGCTTCTGCTCATAACTTGGGTCTGCATCACATGTGTGCGTCTGCCCATCTCCTTTCCTCGCTCACAACATCCTCTCCGACATCAGTCAGCCCTTCTCTAATCACCCCCACTCTCCCACCCCCGTCTGTGTCCCTGACTGCCCATCAGATCGACTCCCACTTTCTTCCCGCCTCTGACCACCTCTCAACTGCCCCTCCCCACTAAAGGCCCCTCTGCCTCTGCACATCCCCCCACCCTCCCAGCCTCCTTCTACCAGGCCTCGTCCTCTCACACCTCCATACACGCCTCCTTCCGACGCCCTTCCTTCGTTTCCTCATCCCTCTGCGGCACTCGTCCCCAACCCCATTGCCACCCCGCTGCAATTGCTGCATGTCCCTCTCTCGCTGCACGCAACATGAACCTCCTGCACTCCGCACACACTTCCACCCCTACAGACCCTCACACACTTCCTTGAACTTATTATCATTTGGCCGACAAAGGAGGGAAGCGAGGAATGGAATTCATATGACCATTACGGCAATTTGTACATCGATAAACCATAATCTCTGGTCCGCCTGGCACCCCCAAAAGCTTGTGGCGTCCAGGAAAGGCGACCTGCTGCGTGTATCATTACCTCGCTCGCCTATCCTCCCCATCGCCTGCCAGCACCGTCACATTTGCCGCGTCGCCTACAAGTAGAAGTTGGCTGCACACTTGACCAATCAAGAGTCACAAAGTTGGCTGTATGCATGGATTTGTCTGTGCTGTCACTTGTGACCAAACTGTTTTGATTACATACTGTGTTATGGTGCAGTACATGCTACAATACTGGTGATGTTTGCAACCTGTAATGATGTCACAAAACACCGCGGTCAATAACCTGTTGGTACAAAACACTGGAACAAGCGTTTGATGGCACTATTTATTGGGTCAGTAAGAAAAACAGTACCCAAAAGGGGACGAGAGAGGGTGGGTTTACAGTATATGCTACTGTTCAATGCGGCATATTGGATGGTTGGATCAACCAATGACAGGACGAGTGACCTAGCTGCTTCGCTTGTGGCCATTGCCACGCTCCCCTGCCATTCACATTGCCATCTCTGCCTATCCATGCCCAGGTTGCTGTCACTTAGGTTGCTCCCCACCTGCAACAGAAGCACAGAAACTGATCAAGGGATGTAATGTGTGGGCTGTTGGTGACGCTGAAACTACCGGTAGTGTGGGAGAGGTGGCTTTGATGTGTGGCGACTGGCGCAGGTGGTAGGATGTGCAGAGGGGGACACGGTTTGAAAGAGTATCGCCATGGAAACAAGAAGACATGAGTGTGGGGAACCTGGAGGGGCAGGGTATGAGCAAAGTGCCCCTGGTAGAGGGAGGGAAGGTGAGAAGAGTGCCCCTGGTAGGGGGAGGGAAGGTGACCAAGGAGTGCCTGATAGGGGCAGGAGAGGTGGCATGGGAGGAGGGGGTACAGGGAGTGGAGGTGGGATGGGAGGAGGGGGTACGGGGAGGGGAGGTGAGATGGGAGGAGGGAGTATGGGGAGGGGAGGTGAGATGGGAGGAGGGAGTATGGGGAGTGGAGGTGAGATGGGAGGAGGGAGTATGGGGAGGGGAGGTGAGATGGGAGGAGGGAGTATGGGGAGTGGAGGTGAGATGGGAGGAGGGAGTATGGGGAGGGGAGGTGAGATGGGAGGAGGGAGTATGGGGAGTGGAGGTGAGATGGGAGGAGGGAGTATGGGGAGTGGAGGTGAGATGGGAGGAGGGAGTATGGGGAGGGGAGGTGAGATGGGAGGAGGGAGTATGGGGAGTGGAGGTGAGATGGGAGGAGGGAGTATGGGGAGTGGAGGTGAGATGGGAGGAGGGAGTATGGGGAGTGGAGGTGATGGGAGGAGGGAGTATGGGGAGTGGAAGTGAGAAGGGGATATGGCGTGGCGGGAAGGGGATATGGCGTGGCGGGAAGGGGATATGGCGTGGCGGGAAGGGGATATGGCGTGGCGGGAAGGGGATATGGCGAGGCGGGAAGGGGATATGGCGTGGCGGGAAGGAGATATGGCGTGGCGGGAAGGGGATATGGCGTGGCGGGAAGGGGATATGGCGTGGCGGTGGTCGCGGCGGGCCCGCGAGAGGAGGCGTGGGGCCCGTCCGATGAACCGAGCCAGTATGGAGGCATTTTCGCAGCCACGAATGGGTATAAATTAGAAACGAACGAGGCAGTGTGGGTCGGTGAGGGGAGACTACTTCGGACGTCGAATGGCAGAGGGCGAGGGCGGAGTCGTCCGAACGACTCCGGATGTCGTCCGGCGGAGGGCGAACGCGAAAGGGAGGGAACGCGAGCGGCGAGCGGGAAGCAGCGGCTCCCCGCGCGGGACGAACGGGGGACGGCGAGCTGGAGTGGGAGGACGGGATGGGACCGCAGATGCTGGCGCGTCAAGGCTAAACGAGACATTGTGGGGAGGGGAAGCGCTGTCGCTAATGGCCTCGCGGTGAGGCAGCGAGAGGAGGCGTGGGGCGGTCTTGTCTAAGGTGGCGAGGCGCTAAGCGAGTGCGTAGGCGTGGCGATTTGTCCGCGCGTGCGCGCAAACAGCATTACGCAGTACAAAAAACAGATTCTAACCCTAAATCTAGCTGTTCGGTTTATATGTTGCCTAGTCTACGCCAAATAACCTACCGCCGTGTGAGAGCGTGTGCTATCGACTGAACTGAAGTTTTAGTATCCTTTTGCGATTCCTAAGGTTTTGAACTGTGAGTGCGGGGAGCTGGACGTGGGGCGTTTGGGGGCTTAGTTCGCCAGTCAATCGGGGGGTTGGGGCTGTAATCATGTAACCAGTTTTTCAAGTTCCTAAGGTTTTTGAAAACCCAACTTTCAAAAGTATACTGTTGCTTTAAGACTGTGAGGCAGTAAAACAGCTTACATTTCTACTTAGTCGCAAAAGAACCCTGTCAGATCCAGGTCTGCAGGTTGGGGAGGTCAGGATGAGAAGGGTACGCGGGAAGGCATTCTGAATGTGTACGCGTTATTGAAGAAATCCAGTGCGATCTCTCTGTTTTTGAAGCCAGAAATTATTCACTGATTTATTATTTTGAGATGATATCGAGGTTTGTCAGGCACCGCAGAGCACCAAAGATGGCAGGAGGGAATCACGGCGGCGCGGGCAGCGTGGAGCCAAAGCCCTGCGTGAAGTGCGGGCAAGCTTCATCACAACACTCTGGCAGAACGAATCGTGGCACGAAGTCAATTTCCAGAGGCTGCCCGGCCCGAAACAAAATCCTAGGCAAAGAAATTGGAATGAGCACCCAAACCAACCCCCTCCCTCACTCCAAAGTCCCAGTCAAGTCCCCCCAACGGTCGAATTTCAAGACCACAACTGAACAGGCCCAGATCGCGTTCTATGGTTGGTCCGACGTCATGTGAACACGCTCGCCATACTTCCAGGTTGTTCTTTTGCCTTGAGCTCTCTTCCCTTTCGCGGCCTCGTCTTTCTCGTCTCCTCGTCTTTCGAACTAGCTGGTTGTCCAGTCCCCGTCAAAAGCTAGATTAACCATCACCAGAGGTGTAGCTGTTCGTCGTTCCACAATTGTGACTCCTCACGTTTTAACTACATCGGCGTAATAAGTTCAGCCCGAGTTGGCCTAGCAGAGCTTATGGATTAAGCAAATCCCACGTGCGTATATAAACCACAATCACTCAATAGCTGCCAGGGGTCCCTAGCCATGGCAATCACGCAGTTAATCGAGCCGCAGCCGCTGCAGACTAGTAGGGTGGCGCTAAACGACGTTAAAAAGAGCCTCTTAGTGGCGCTCGGGAAGCTCAACGATCGCGACACGCAGCAGAACGCCGTCGGCGATCTACAGAACATCGTGGAGTGCCTGCCGCCTGAAGGCATTCCCGTCTTCCTCTCCTGCCTCTACGAGACTGACAGCACCCATCGTACCTTCGTCCGGAAAGAATGCCTCAGGTAACGCCTCCACCACCTCCACCAGAATGTTCTTTCGAGTCGACAAAAAAACATTCCCGTCTTCCTCTCCTGCCTCTACGAGACTGATAGCACCCATCGCACCTTCGTCCGGAAAGAATGCCTCAGGTAACGCCTCCGCCATCTCCACCAGAATTTTAAAAAATCGCCTAAAGAAAGGTCAAGTACAATGCTTCAAGTGAAGCCTCCACCAGCTGCTGACTAGTATAAGAAGTCGACGAAACGTATATCTACCGTGTCGCAGATGTTACACATGTTCCGCTTCTCGTGTGCTGTCGGAAAGGGATGCCCCGTTTCGAGCGCTTTACTGATGATAGTTCTGGCCTTCACTGCTCATCCTTACTTTCAAAGATTTGTCGTCGTCCCATACGATCAATGGGACCATAGCTTCTTTTGTACCATAGCTTTTTTATCATTCTGTAGCATACACTGTTTCCTCCCTTCCTCGTCCACCTGAACAACCATGTCGTGAACCTTCGCCGCGCCGTCGCAGGCAATTCGCCATCCTTGCGATGACCTTCGGCCCGCTTCTGTCGCCGCACCTCCCCAAGATCGTCGCAGCCGTCGTCCGTCGCCTGCGCGACCCCGAGTCCACCTTAATCGAATCCTGTGCAGAAGCCATGGCGACACTCGTTCAGCACGTACCCCCACCTCCCCACGATACCGTCCCGGGGGCCATTCCCGTCGGCGGCTTCGGAGCTATGGGCGTTTACGTGCGGCCTCTGCTAGACACACTCGGCGAGCAGAGCCGAAACTCGCAGGCAGGCGCGGCGATCTGTCTCGACCGCGTTTTCCGGGCTGCCCGGGAGAAAATGGAGCCGTGCGCGGCGCGCGTGCTGATGCGAGCGAACGGGATGCTCTCGCGGCAGGGGTTTCAAGCGAAGGCGCAGCTTCTGGGCGCCGTTGCGAGCCTTGCCGAGGTACGTTGACTTTTCTCACCTTGCTCGGGTGCCTGGTACTTTGCCAGCCTGAGCTGGACGGACTTGCGAGCCTCCCGGAGGTAGGCGGTGCACCTACCCGTCAGTATATGAGTTGCTTTCAGGGATGTGTATCGGTCGAGTTCGGGGTATTCAAATTCATCGACTATTGTTCATTTAGGTCCTTTGGAACTCGACAAGTGCTGCTATTCGTTGTTATCTTATCCCCTCCTCGTCCGTGTCGTCAAGAGCTGCCCCCCACCGCCTTCGTTCCTTTCCGCGCCGTCTTTCCGCGCAGGTGTGCGGGGAGTCCATGGGCGCGCAGGTGCCCGTGCTGGTGTCCGCCGCGACCGCTGCCGTGGCGTCCGCGGACTGGGCCACGCGCAAGGCGGCGGTGGACCTGCTGGGGCAGCTCGCCATCAACCTGCCGGCGGAGTTTTTGGGGGAGAGCCGCGCGGCAGTCATGAAGGCACTGGACCAGTGCAAAGGCGATAAGGTAGGGCGAGTTGAAGGGGGTACTCTAGGGCGGCAGCACATCGAGGCAAGGTAAGAGGGGAGGGGGGGGGGGGGTTAAGGGAAAGGAAAAGGTGGGGTGGAGGTAAGATAGCGGTGGATCTTCTGGGACAGCTCGGCATAAACCTGTTTGCAGCCACACCACGGCGGTTAAGGCACACGGAGAAGCACAGCGCACACGATAAGCAGGAGTGGCAATCTTGGGCGTTGGGTTGGGAGCGTGCAGCACTGCAACGGAGACTTGCTGCGACAGTTGGACCTAGGCAGCCATTTGAATGTACCACATGCACACCCTTCCAATCCCGCCAACCGCTTGCATTGAACCTGTTTTGCAGGTGAAGAATGTGCGCGATTCACTGGCGCAGGCGAAGCAGGCGTGGGCGTGTGTGGAGTGGGAGGACCCGCCAGCAGCCGGGCAGCACCAAGTGTTGTCTGTGCCGTCCCTCGCGTCGGAATCAGCAGTCACTGCAGTGCAAACTCCGTCGCTCTCCTCTGCTGCTGCTGTTGGCAGCGCATCAGGTACGGAGAGACACGTTGGGGGTTGTGCGAGAGGCATGTGTGGGAGTGTGAGACGCATATGAGGTGGTGTGAGACGCATATGAGGCAGTGTGTGACAACATTAGCATAGTCGGTTTCTTATTCTTGTCCATTTCCCCCTTGCACCTTCCAGGAAGGCGTGCCAGTTTCTCGCCTGCTCCGGCAGAGAAAGACAGAAGCATCGGCGGCCACTCTCTCAAGCTTCAAGGCCGCTCATCCTCGCTTGTAGCGGACCCGTTTCAAGACACTCGAGAGGCAGCAGAGGCAGAGGAAACAGCAGCAGTATCAGCACCACCAGCAGCGGCAGCAGCTGCTGTCAGTGCGACCCCTGCTGTAAAGCGTGGTGGAGTGGGCAGCATGTTGGCTCGCACCTTCAGCGGGCTGGGTCGAGCTCGAGCTAAGGAAGCAACAGCGGCAGCAGCAGCAGCAGGTGCTGCCGCTGCAGGGGGAGTGGCAGGAGCAGGAGGAGGAGCAGGAGGAGGAGCAGGAGGAGGAGGAGAAGAGGGCGGAAGGAAAATCGGACTGAGCAAAGGGGGGATTGGGTCCCACGCATGGGCTCCAGAACTATCTCAGTCGAAACCCGGAGAAGTTTCCAAAGGAGAAGCTTCTAACGCGGATAATGGAGCTGGAGGGAAGGCTGCTCGGCCTAAGTTCGAGCGGCAACCTTTGCGAGGGAACCCTCTGTTCTTCAAGAAGGCGGGCGCCGGGGGGAAGGCGGGGGGAGGTGACGACTGGTCCGTGGAAGTGATGGTTCCTAAATCGAAGGCAGGGGCAGTGGGGGAGATTGGTGACAGTAACGGGGGAGTGGCTGAGGGCAGTGGAGGGAAAGAGAAGGGAGACGGAAAGGGAGAGGGCAGGCAGGGGGCAGGGGCGGGGCCAGGGGCAGGGGTAGGGGTAGGTGTGAAAGAGAGTCGAGCGCAAGCGGATGGTGTTAAGGCGCGTAGGAATTCGACTTCGGGGATTGCTGCTCTTAAGGCTGCGGCCGCAGCTGGTGGGAGAGGCAAGGAGGGTGCAGGGGGCGGGAAAGGGGGAGGTGCAGGGAACGACTGGAACGTGGAGGTTTTAGTGCCTAAGACTCGTGGCGGATGGGGCAAGGGCGGCTGCGAGCCAGAGGAGAAGCGGGAGGTGGTTAGCAAGGCTGATGAGGAGAAGAGTTCGGAGATAAAGGGAAATGGCGGTTTGGGTAAGGCTGCTTTGCAGCAGGAAGAGGTGTCCCAAGAGCAGCAGCAGGGTCAGCAGCAACAGCAGCCACAGAATCAGCAGCAGCAGCAGTATCAGCAGCAAGAGCGGCAGCAGCAGCAGTATCAGCAGCAAGAGCGGCAGCAGCAGCAGTATCAACAGCAAGAGCGGCAGCAGCAGCAGTATCAGCAGCAAGAGCGGCAGCAGCAGCAGTATCAGCAGCAGCAGCAGCAGCAGCAGAATCAGCAGCAAGTGCAGCAACAGCAGCAGCAGCAGCAGTATCATAATCAGCCGGTGCAGCAGCGATTGGAGGAGAAGAAAGAGGACGAGAAGAAAGATTTTTTGCAGCACATGCTTCGAGAGGTTAAGGGAGAGAATGAGGCAGGAGAAAATACTGAATCCAGTGGTGCTTATAACAGGGGGCAGGAGGAGAGAGTGGGGGGGGTAACGAATGCTGCGGGAGGGCCTACAACGAGATATGCTACTGGGATGGAGAGTGAGGAGGAAAGGGAGGAGGAAGCGAGGGAGGGATGGAAGGAGAAAGAGGAAGAGGAGGGAAGAGACTGGGAGCAAAAGACACCAGAAAAGGAGACACGTCTTGAGAATGGCGTTTATGGCTCTAGCGAGTCTGACAATGACGAGGATGGGCATCAACAGGGCGGTAGGGCAGGCGACTGGGAGGAAAGGAAGGGTTGGAAGGCAACTGGGCGGGGTGATGCCTTGGAAAGACAGAAATGGAGTAAGGGCAGGAACAGGTGGAGGGAGGGGCAAGGACAGGGGCAGGGGGTTGGGGAGACAGAGGAGGAGAATTATAGAAAGAGGGAGGAGGAGGCGGGTAGGAGGGGCAGGGGTGTGGGGGAGACGGGGAGGGGAGAAGGGGGAGGGGAGCTGCGCCAGTCGTATGACTGGGGGGCCGCGGGGAAGGCCGGGCGCGGATGTAAGGGCGGGGGAAGAAGGGAGGGCGTGAGAGAGGCGGAAGAGAGGGGGAGGAGGGTGGGTGGAGGTGTGAGAAGGGATAGGGGAACGTGGGGAGGAGGGTGTGGTATGAGGAGGAGTAATTCCTGGAGCAGTAGTCTGTCTGTTGATGTTGATACCACTGTTGGAGGGAAAAAGGGGGGAGTGAGGGGTGTGAGGGAAGGTAGGGACGTGCAGGGCAAAGGAGGAGGAGGAAGAGGAGGGGAGGATGGAGAGAGGGCGAGTGAGGAGAAAGGAGGGGAGGGAAGATGGAAGGGGGAGGAGGAGGTGTGGTTCGCTTAGCAGTCATTTGTCTTCAAGCGAGGAAGAGGAGGATTATGTGGAATCGTTTTCTCGTGCTCGTACAAGGCGTGGGTGGGCTAATAACGAGGATGATCCGGAGTCGAGTCCAAGAGGAGGGCGCAGAGACGGAAGGTGCGGCGTTGGGAAGGGTGTAAAGCAGCAGCAGAGGCAGGGCGACACGTGGCAGAAGCAGGAGGTGACACGTCAGGAGGAGAAGCTCGGGCGCAGGAGGGTGCAGCAGAGTCAGCACCAGGGGCAGCAGCAGCAGCAGCAAACGAGGCAGAACGGATTGAAGAAGGCTGATGGGGAGCAAATGCAAGTTAGACGCTCCTATGATTTAAGTCAGGCTTACCAGAGCAAGCAACAGAAGCAGCAGCAGCAGCAGCAGCAGCAGCCATGGGAGGGGATTCAGAAGGGAAGGGGGCGGAGGGCGGAGTGGGGAGGGCAGACCGCGCAGATGGTACTTATGAGCGACTCTGGCAGTGGCGTGGGGCCATGCCCTCGTGGCAGGGAGAAAGAGAGCGGGGTGAGGGGTGTGAGGAAGGGAGGCGGTAGGGAGTGGGAGAGGGATGAGGAGGAGGAAGATGAGGATGAGGAGGAAGATGAGGATGAGGAGGAAGATGAGGATGAGGAGGAAGATGAGGATGAGGAGGAAGATGAGGATGAGGAGGAAGATGAGGATGAGGAGGAAGATGAGGATGAGGGGGTGATGGAGGGAGAAGAGAATGGGCTCAGCGGGGGAGGGCGGAGAGGAAGGGGAAGGAGCAGTAAAGGCACTTGCGCTGCTGCTGCAATAGCTGTGGCGGAGGCAGTGGAAGCAGAGGTGCAGAGACTGAGGCAACGAGTGGCTGACATGGAGCGACAGCAGGACAGCTACCAGGGCATGGTGGAGGTGAGTGGCTGCTTGAATGAGCCGTGCTGCACGAGGGTAGGGTAGACTTCTAGTCGCGAGAATCATGGCGACGAGTAGTGCATGTGGAGTGTGACAGCCGGACAGCTACCAGGGCATGGTAGAGGTGAGTGGTTCATTTAAAACGGTGTGCTGCTGCACAAGGGTAGAATTTTAGGCTCAAGAATCAGGGCAACGAGTGGTGGATATGGAGTGCGACAGCAGGACAGCGATTGGGGCATGGTGGAGGTGAGTGGCTGCTTGAATGAGCCGTGAGGATATATTGGGCTTGAAGTGGTGTGGATATGGAGCGTGACAGCAGGACAGCGATTGGGGCATGGTGCAATCGAGTGGCTGCTCTTACTCGTCTCGTCTACGCTTTTTCCCCATGTTCCCTCGCTGCTGCTCTTCACATGGTAGCATGAGGCACCTTCAGACGAACCTTTCGCAGCCTCGAGCTGCAAATGACTAATTCTTCTGATTCTCCCCTGTCTCTCTCCCTCCTTTCTCCATCTTCTCGGTCCCCTTCTGCTCTCCTGCCCCCCGCTCCTCAGGGTTTCATGAGTGCGCTACCAGGCGGACTATGGACTTTCTGGAGCTGCAAAAGCTCAATGCCGCTTTCGCTCTCCCAATTCCACTTATTCCCCTCCGTTCCCCCCTTTCCCCTGCGCTCCCTGCCCTTCATTCGTCAGGGTTTCATGAGTGCTACCAGGCGGACAATGGACAGTCTGGAGCTGCGAATGCTGTCCCTTGAAGGCTCGCTTTCTACCCTAAAGTCCCTGCATCAGCAGCAGCAGCAGAACCAGCACGAGCAGCAACAGCAGCAGCAGCAGCAGCAGCTGGCGTTAGAAGCAGAAGTGGTTCAGCTGCAGCAGCAGCAGATTCAGCAGGCTTACCACGAGCAGCAGCAGCAGTTGCAGCAGGCAAAGCTGTCATATTTGGAGCAGCAGCAGCAGCAGCAGCAGCACTCAGAACCACACGCGCCATGCACAGTGCTGCTGCTGCCTCTCCAGTGGTTGCCTCTCTCCCTTGGACTTCCGCTGCTGCTGCCTCCCCCTCACCCCACGCTGTCCCCACCTCTCCTCACCCCGTTTCCACCTCCGCCCTCCCTACCATGCCCTCCCCTTACCTGCCCGCTCGCATTCGCACCACTGCTGGTGGTGACAGCAGCAGGGGGCTCGCCCCTGGACGAAGGTTGTCGTTGCAGGGAGGAGGGGGGATTGGTGGGATAGGAAGCAACGCAGGGGGGATAGGCAGTGGGTCTGGGGCTGGTGGTTTCGTGCAGGCGCAGCCATTCTTGGGTGGGTTTGGTGGTACCGGAGCAGGGAATGAAGCAGCTTATATGGAGGACGATTATGCTGCGGCTGCTGCAGCTGTGGCTGAAGCAGCAGCGGCGGCAGCAGCAGCAACGTGAGGCGGCGCGTGTGGCTTCATTCCAAAGTCAGCAGCACCAACAGCAGCATCAGCAGCAGCAGCAGCGACGTGCTAACTCTAAGGAGAACCACTTCGTTGAGCCGCGGACAGAATACCGCTCCTCCGACTGGCCCTCCCCGCACTCCTCCCCACTCCTCTACTGTCTCGTCCCCTCGCCTGCCTCTCAACACAAGCATGAATACAGAACACCAGCAGCAGCAGCAGAAGCAGCAGCAGCAGCCGGAGCAGCAGCAGTTGTTGCTGCAGTGGCGAGGCAACTCTAGTCAGCAACAGGATCAGGACGAGCAGATGAACCTTCACCAGGCTCAGCCCGAGCAGCAGCAGCAACCCAGAGCAGAGGCGTTGCCAACAGCAGAGGGAGGAGGAGGGGGTGGAGGAGCAGGAGGAGGGAGAGGAAGAGGGGGGGGTGAAAGTGCAGAAGCAGCAGCAGGTAAGCCTCTAGGGCCGCTGAAGCGCCAGGTGGCACCAGCCAATTGGTCATGGGCTGTGGCTTTAGACGAGCTCAAGGCCGGGGGGTTCGAGGGTGCTTATAAAGAGGTGCTGAAGGCTGCAGATGCGGGTGCTATGGTGCGGCTGATGGGGCGAACTGGGCCTGTGCTGGGGCATCTGTCGCCAGATACTGGGGCGGAGGTTATACGACGCATGGTGGAGCTGCTTATAAGGGGGACGTCCGTGGAGTACCTGCTGCCGTGGGTTCGGCAGGTGAGGCAATGGGAGGGGTGATGTGATGGGATGGGATGTGATGGGATGTGATGTGATGTGATGGGATGTGTTTTGATGGGATGTGATGTGATGGTATGTGATGTGATGTGATGGGATGGGATGTGATGTGATGGGATGGGATGTGATGTGATGGGATGTGATGTGATGTGATGGGATGTGATGTGATGGTATGTGATGTGATGTGATGGTATGTGATGTGATGGGATGGGATGGGATGTGATGTGATGGGATGGGATGTGATGGGATGGGATGTGATGTGATGGGATGTGATGTGATGGGATGTGATGTGATGGGATGTGATGTGATGTGATGTGATGGGATGTGATGTGTGTTGTGGAGGAAAGGCATGGTGCTTGTGGGAGCTGGCTTGTTGATGCATTTGGGTGCTCACATGCCATCACAACCGCTCATTATCTCTCATCTGCAGCAGTATGTGATTAGAAAGCTGGCATCTCCTTTTCTCCCCTTCCCCTGACTCCTCGTGCTTATTTCCTCCCACTCCCACCTTCCAATCACCAGCTGCTAGACACAGTGGCAGGCGAGTCATCTCTCCCTTACAGGGCGCAGGGTCCGGCAGTGGATGAGCATCTGAGGCCACCACCACGTGCTCACACACTCCTCTTCCGCATCCCTGTCTCCCCCTCCTGTCCTCTCTTCCATACGGAGCAGAGGGCCCGGCAGTGGACGGGCATCTGAAGCAGCACATCCTGGCGGGCTGGCTGTGCCCCTCACTTTGCTCCCCCATTCTTCCCTTCCCATGACCCATGCAATCACTGGACATAGTGACAGACGAGTCATCTCTGCCATACGGGGCAGTGGGGCCGGCAGTGGATGGGCATCTGAAGCACCACGTGCTTACACGCTCCTTTTCCCCATCCCTGTCTCCCCATCCCTATCTCCCCCGCCCATCAACCTCCCCAGCTGTTGGACATAGTGACGGACGAGTCCTCTCTCCCATATGGAGCAGAGGGCCCAGCAGTGGATGGGCATTTGAAGCACCACGTGCTTACACCCTCATTTCGCACTCCCCACCCTTCTCCCCCCTCCTATTCACCCCCCCAGCTGCTGGGCATAGTGACGGACGAGTCATCTCTTCCCTATGGAGCAGAGGGACCGGCAGTGGATGGGCATCTGAAGCACCACGTGCTTACACGCTCCTTTTCCCCATCCATGTCTCCCCATCCCTATCCCCCCTGCCCATCAAACCCCCCCGCTGTTGGACATAGTGACGGACGAGTCCTCTCTGCCATATGGAGCAGAGGGGCCAGCAGTGGATGGGCATTTGAAGCACCACGTGCTTACACCCTCATTTCTCACTCCCCACCCTTCTTCCCCTTCCTATTCACCCCCCCAGCTGCTGGACATAGTGACGGACGAGTCCTCTCTGCCCTATGGAGCAGAGGGCCCAGCAGTGGATGGGCATTTGAAGCAGCACGTGCTGGCAGCGCTGCAGCAGGTGGTGAGCGCTGATGGGGGCAGCTGGGTGGGGCGCTCTGCAGGCGACTACCGGCGACAGCTGGCCGATGCATGGGGGATGTGAGGATTGAAAGGGGAGGGGGGCAGAGTGGTGGGGCGCATAGCATGAGTGATTCAATGCAGGAGGGGACTTCTACTACTGGCGCCTGCTGGCTGATGCGTGGGGCATGTGAGGCATGTAAGTGTTGTGAGGAATAAGTGTCTCATGGAATGAGTCCCGTGGTGAGGTAGAGAGTGCTGCAAGGTGCTTCAGGGAGTGCGAGCTGCTGTGGCAGCTGGGCCATAATTGTGCTTTGAGGGGCATGGCCTTGGGGTAGTGAACTTCAAGTTTGACTGGTGTTGACCTGCAGTTGAAGTGGTGTTTCTACTTGACTCTTCGCTTTTGAGCTTTGGTCCATTGTGTTTGGTTTGCTGAGCGGTACCGTAGTGTCTCTGTGCTTGCCTCAGTAGTATACAACTCTGTGTTGGTAGTCTGTTACGGCTGGATTGGAGGTGTATATTTCAAATAAATAGCATGCAAACAAGGAATCGGCCAAATGCTATCCAGCCAGCGCACACATAATCACTCATGCGACACACACCGAGCTCTTCCAGATCAATGTTCCAAGCAGCATGCCCTGCCATCCCACGGGCCACAAGGAGTGGCACTGCCATGCCATGCGCCAATGCCATGTCATGCCATACACCACAACGATATGTATCCCTGTCATGCCATGATCAAGGGAGCTCAACCTCCCTCCACATCACAAAAGTGCCTCCGTACGTCACCTCCTCAGCGGGAAATCGGCTGCACCACGAGGGGGGAGCGCACGCTATGGCCCAAGTTGTCGGCCCACACTATATACCCGTACGTCATTACTGGGGGTATCCACCGTGATTGTCAGCGTGTAGGTGGCCTTCTCCCTGGGAGCAAGCGTAAGGGACTTAGATGACACAGTCACCTTTACCCCCTGCGGCGCCTTCCCAGATACACTGTACGTGGACCTGGACTGCCCCACATTGGTGACGGTGCGGGTGACCTGCAGGGAGCCCTGCAGGCGAGGCAGAGTGATGGTGGGCAGGTTGAGGTTCCGAACAGCCAGAGGCGAGAGCGCCACCCCTGGGAACTCCTTTTTCGCGCGGTTGAGGTCCTGCCCGGCGAGAAAATTCTGGTAGTCGCGGTCGCGGGCGTCGTAGGTGAGGCCGGGGTCAAGCATGGCCGGGGGGAACACGTGGCCTGCGCCCATCTCCCACGGGGTGGCCTCCCCACCCGTCGAACTCTTGATGGCGCTCTTGCTCGTGTCCGTCACCCGCGCCGTCGTCATCAGCGCTGACATCACCTGCGCCGGGGTCCAGCTGGGGTACTTCTGGATGATTAAAGCAGCTAGCCCCGCTAAATGCGGGGTGGCCATGGAAGTGCCCACCCGCCATGGGCGGCTGGGCCGTGGCGGAGGGCTGCAGCAGGGGGCCGCGGGAAGAGAAGTCAGCCACCACCGGGGCGGAGGAGGAGGAGGAGGTGAAGGTGATCCCCCCGTCTGCAGTCAGAACCGTGCTGCTGCTGCTGCCGTCCGTGCCATCAGTGCCATCCGTGCTGTTACCATTGAAGTCGCCGCCAGTGCCGTTGCTGCTGATGGTGGCGCCAAGTGCGAGCGACTGGGTGCCGGCAGTTGAGGAGACGAGGGACACGCCGCCTCTAGCGATGCTGCTGGCGCCAACAGTAAGGTAGAAAGGCGCGAAGTTGTCAAGCGTGCGGTAGTTCCCACCACGCCCGGGAGGCCCATTGTTGCCGGCAGCAAAGGTGACAAACACCCCGGCAGCATTGGCGCGCATGAAAGCGAGATCGTTGAAATAGTGGTCGTTGGGATCGGGATACTTGCTGCCCAGAGACAGCGACAGCACATCCACACCGTCCGCCACGCCCTGATTGACGGCTGCGATGATATCTGACTCCATCGCGGTCAATTCCCCGTTGCCGTCCGTCCAGAAGACCTTGTACGCCGCAATGCGCGCTGCCGGCGCCATGCCGTTTACCTGCCCGCCGCCCTTCACATTCACCGGGTTCCCCGCGGCTGCTCCAGCGCACCACGTGCCATGGCCGTCCGCATCTCGCGGCGTGAGCCAGTCATTGGTCAACACGGGCCGGCCGATGCTCTGCTGGAAGCCGGAATAGAAGGCCTTGGCGCCGATCAACTTGTTGTTGCACCGGAACGAGCTCGACTGCTCGCACTTGCCCTTCCACCCCGCTGGAAGCTGCGAGGAGAAGCCCTTATCGCTGAAGGACGGGTGTTCGGGCCAGATACCCGAGTCCACGATTCCCACCACCGTTCCCTCGCCCGCCTTGCTCTGCCCGCCCACTGCCGGCCACACCTTCCCGGGCAGCCCCAGAAACTGCGGCGAGTCGCTCGTCTGCCGGCTGAACACACGGCTGGCGCGCACAGAGGCCACGGCGGGGTGGCGCTGCAGCCGCCACAGCTGGCGCCGCGTGAGGCGCGCGGCGAAGCCGTTGGACGTGTGCTTGTAGCTGTAGAGCAGCCCGTCCTCGGGTACGCCCGCCTCAGATGCCACCTGCGCCTGCTGCCGCTGCAGCAGCCCCGCGTACGCCGCCACCTGGGGGCGGTCCATGCTCAGACTCAGCCGGTGCCGCGGGCACCCGCCGCCGCCGTTATGCCCGCCGTTACCGTTACCACCGCGACCGCCGCGACCGCCACGAGCGTTGGGAGTGGCGGCGGCGTCAGATGTGCCGTTTACGGGCGGCGCGGGCACAGTTGCGTTGGGGAGGAGGTTGTCGCCGTTGTGTCGTCCAGATCAACAGATTCGTCGCCTGCGGCGGCGGCGGAGTCGCCGGCGGGGAGAATCATCTGTGGCACGGCGTCGCTGTCCTCCTCGTCGCTGCCGTCGTCCCACGTGGCCGTCGCGGGGTATCCCGCGATTCCGCCGCGATATTCGGAGAGGGGAGGCGCCGTGCTCAGGCGAACGATGTAGACGGCGGATCCGTCCGCTGCTGGCGTCGCGAATGTGCCGGAGTTTTCCTGGGAGGGCGCCTCGAGATGATCATTCTCGCCGCCTTCCCGCCATGCGCGGTTCAGGTTGCGCCAAGTTGACGCGCGGCTTGCAATGGATGGCTGCGCGGCCAGAAGAAATGCCCCCAGCAGCAGCAGAATCACGATTGTCGGACCGTGCCTCATGGTGAAAATCAAACTTTCCGTGCAAATATCGCTCGTAGCAGTGCCGAACGGCTGATGGCTTGCGCTTAGCCGACAAATCTAATGGAACTAGGTATACAACTCGAAGTAAGGGATGTCGAGTAGCTCTGAATGCTGCAATTGGAATGGTTGAATTGTTGATGTGGTTTGAGCGAGGAGTGGGTGGTTTTGTACTCACCAGCCCACAGCAGAATCACACATTTGGCTGGGGCGTTGTCGCGCCGCGATGTACCTGCCCCAATGGTCAGAAAGTCTGGATGTGCGAAGGTGGGTCAGTTTCGGACTTCACTAACCGTGGTTCGCGAATCTCGTCGCGAATTAATCGTGAGCGAAATCAAGTTCATCACGGGGGCGGAAGCACTACGACGATGTGCCAGGCTCATCTCTGTAACACCGTCGCAAGCTAGTTCCTCCCACAGGATGTCGCCAATCGAAACCCGTAACGGGCACGCTAAACTTGCTCGTTCTTAGACATCGCATATTGACTGAAAAGAATTGTAGATCTCAGAAATGCGGCGCGGGTCCGAATAATCGGACACCGTGAAGCATACGGGACGGGACATGTACGAGCAGAAATGCCTATTGGTTGCGACAGCTTGACGGAATGGACTCGATACTTGTTACATACTCGATGGCTATCTTCCGTGATCGTCCTGCGATCATGCAGTCGAATGTAACGACCAATTTTTCGAAGAAAGCTCGTTACGAGCTCGCATAAGATGCTAACTGACCCATGAGATGAATTGAATTTACATTCCACACAGAAATTCCATAAGTGCTTCCGCCTGGTCATACAACTAGCTTTTTGTTGCATTCTCATCATGTACACACAGCGAGAATTTGGTTCCAAACGTCTAGCATCAATATATGAGGCAGGCTATGGAGCCTGACAGGTAGCATCTCCAACCCAGTACCTACAGTTTCCCACTTACGCTAGACAAGCTGGCCAAATGACAGCAAGGCGTCACGAAACAAGGCAGCAAACTCGTCAGCTGCTCCTGCCGCCCCCTTCACCTTGCCGCTTGCTGTGCCAGCATTCGTGTTCACCTGGAGCTCCACTAGGAACATGCCACCTGGCGCCGCATCGGCCTTTTGCGCGTAGAAGAAGAATCGGAAAGCGGGGCGTTGGCCGCCTGATGCCATGCACTGAATGTTCCTGTGGGCCATGTGCCTTAACAGAGGGGCTGGCGCTGACAGTGCAGTGATGAAGGTTCCAGGCAGCTTCTCCTCCTGCACATCAGCATGGAAGACGAGGAAAAGCAAGTGGGGTGCGGGGAAGGGGAGGAGAGAGAAGGCTCCCAATCAAGTCGGTGGGTGAGACTCATGGCTCCATGAAGAGACATGCAAAAGCGGAGAGAGGTGAAAGTGAAACCAACCACGAACAACACGAGGAAAGAAGGCACTCACAAGAGTGGCGGCGACAGGCAGCTGGCTCCACGTGCGCTGGAAGGATGGTGCATCCAGGGATGCCTTGGCACTCAGCACCAACACTGGCTTGTAAGTCTCACAAGCCATCCCATGGCACACAAGAGTCTGAGGCACTTACAAGGGTAGCGGCGACAGGCAGCTGGCTCCACGTGCGCTGGAACGACGGTGCATCTAACGATGCCTTGGCACTCAGCACCAGCGCCGGCCGCACAGGCGCATGCGCCCCTGACAGCATGTCCTCCAATCCCGCTCCGCCACCTGGCGCTGGCGACGGCGCTGCGAGGCCCAGCAGGCTGTCTATGGAGTCGAACCCGCTGCTGCCTGCTGCCGTGGCCCCAGAAGGGGCTGCTGGGGCTGCAGCAGCAGATGCTGCTGGTGCTGTGCTGGCTGCTGCTGCTGGTGCTGCGGTGGGAGCATCTGATTGGGCAGGTTGCGTGCTTGCTAGCTCTGCAAACCGGTCCAATGCTGCTGCAGGAGCCGCAGCAGCGGGAGGAGCCGCAGTAGCAGCGGGAGGACCCGCAGCAGCAGCAGGATGTGCGGGTCCGTCGGATAGAAGATCCAACGGCAGCAGAGGAGCCGCTGCTGCAGCAGCACCAGTACCACCAGCACTACCAGCGGCAGCAGCATGGCCATTGGGAACAGCATCCGCAGAGATAAGAGGCGAGGCGGCAAACTCCCTGTCAGAAGCGTCGAGGAGCGAGGCGGCAGATTCACCCTGTGAGGCGCGGGCCGATGGAGCAGCAGCGGCAGTGGAAGGAGCAGTGGCAGCAGCGGCTGCAGCAGAGGCGGCGGCGGCAGCGGAGGCCACGGAGGTGTATTCGGCGTCAAGCAGGCTGCGCTGGTCCTTGTCCAGGAACAGATATGCGGGCTGCATGGGATGATGGTGGGGGAAAATGGAAGCACAGAATTTGAGGTGTCTCGAGAGATTCGGATGGGTTCGGCGTCAAGCAGGCTGAGCTGGTCCTTGTCCAGAAACAGGTATGCCGGCTGGATGGAAGGACAGTGGGGAAGAAATTGCAGCAAGGGAAGAGGAAGGATGAGTGATTTTATAATCGACTAAAACATCACCAACAGCAGAGGCCACGAAGGTGCATTCAGCGTCGAGCAGGCTGCGCTGGCCCTT